ATTCACGTCATCCACGGCTTCCCCATCAGGACATAAACTCTTCGAAGCTGGCTCCAGCTGATTGATTCCGGAGTCTCCTTGAGCTCCCAGCAGGAGGCCTGGCACATCGTGATGCCTTCCTAGGTGCAGAAACCACCAGCCATTTGTTCACTGAATGAATGCTGCCCCAGCCAGTCTGGGCAAAGGGGGGGCAGGGGAGAGAGAGGTGGGGGGATTTCAGCCTGTGACCATAGAGCGGGGCTTGCAGGGAAATTGAAAAACCCACGTGAGGCCCTGAGTGCTTGTTTAGTGATTCTCTGCCCTGGGTCACCAAGCAATGGTCCTAGAGGTCAGTCCCCTCTGCAGAGGGGCAGGTCGGGGAGCCCAGTTGGGGGCGGGGGAGAATGACCTCAGCAACCCAGAGCCTGAAGGGAGGGAGCCCAGGTCAAGGGGAACCCATGGGCACACCGGGCCTGTGCTCCAGTTGTGGGGTAGGGAGCCTGGAAGCTGTAAGGGTTTCTGCTGTAAGGCCCACAGAGACCCCACACGAAGGGCTCTGAATGCTCAAGGCTCCAGCCATTTGTGCCCTTGTTCCCTCCTAATGCTAAATAGAGGGTGTGTGTGTGTGTCCAATTGGATACCTGAAATTGTGTATCTTTACAAGACCTCTCACGTTATCAGAAGTTTGGGGCACCAACCTCCCATCTGCCCCTGAGGGAGGCTGAGCAGATAATGGATAAACTCAAGCTCCACCCTCCCTATCCCCAAAGAGTGGGAAGGGTGGGTGTCCTCTCAGAGAACAGGAAACAGGCCCTGGGGACATGGAGCAGCCTGGATGGAAACCAGGCTTCCAGAAAGGGACCCCAGAGTGCAGCACGTGTTTGCTCCCTGAGGTCAGACCCCTTGACTGCCACTTCAGGGGAAGTGGACCAGATCCCAGTCTGAGGCCCCTCCCACTCTGCCTTCTCTCAGGAAAAGGGGTCTGGAGAAAGAGGAACCCCTGGGCCTATAAGGGACTGCCGGGTGGGCTGAGGCTGCCTCGGCCCCAGCCCACATGCTATGGCAGAATCTCTGTTCCCCAGACTCATCCTTGTGCTGTGGCCTCACACCCTGCCACCCCACCATCAGGCTACTTCTCTGCTTGCCCCACCCCCACCCCATGTGAAGACTTCCTGTCCCCAGCTTACCTCTTCCTCCACTGCCTTCCCCTCCACCCAGCCACCCTCAGGAATG